GTAACTTTATCAAGACTGGGCCAAATTTCTTCCAGAACCTTGCAGTACACACCAATACTTACAGTATATGCTAGATGATCAACAACGTTTCTTTCACAATGCAATCGCATGACCGTAACTGGTCTTTATCTTTAAAGGGATCCGGTAATTTTGTCTCAGATTCTGAAACAAAATCCTGGATTTAGATAATGCTGCAATGATAATCATAAACCTTTAGGTCAGTCAGGAACCCCATGACATTTACAAGCTAATTGCATGTCTGATTATGAAGATATTTGTGATTCAAAATCAAAACCAAATTTTGCGTTTGCCAAATGGTTTCCACAACACTACAGTCTATTGGGGGAAATGAGTATGGTAAAACTGGTCACTCAAACAACCTATTACCAGATTTCTTTGATTTCAGTTGCTAACTAGCAATGTACTAACAATTCCAAGCTGCTGTGAAGTTTTCTCCTTCTTGACTATCAAATAAAATGAGAGGTGAAAATGATTTACACCTCCAGCTCGGGATATGAATTCCTTCATGCTCAGGCGACATGTAAAGCAAACTGAGCTATATGCCAGGGTTGCTGCCATGGGTCTACAATATACAGTGGATCTAACAGGTCCATGTTCCTACAAAACTCTGCCAGGAAAAAGAGCAGTACAACAAGCCCTAGACTTTGCTCTAATATACCTGCTGCAAGATGTCAACGTTTAACAAGGCAGAGGGGAAAGAGATGAAGTGAGGTGCTGAAGTCATAAGCCTTCAAGTGTCTAAACAAGGTGTGGAAATCTTGATCCTGCCCCTTAAAAGATTAACACCCGCCCCTCTCTTGCTATTTATTCAGGTCATACAATTGGAGCATAAACTCTGAGAAAAGGGTTACAAAATGGGGGGTAACTCTTACCCCATTTCATATGATATTTGGACAAATTATTGCTTCAAATTTACACACAGTCTAGACGAAAGGCCAAGCTCTGGATAATACTTCCTCGGGGCTTTCTTATGTCAAAGAAAATCCTATAGAAAGAACCGCTCAATGATAATTCTTGCTGAAGGGTATAAACTGCATAGCAAATGAAGAAATTGATTTACAGGTAAATGGTCTTTTTGTTTCCTCTCACATTCGTGTACAGTCTTGAACTTGGGTATCCGTGTCGATAATCTGTGTCAACGACAAATTTTCTTCTGGGATTGGAGTCTACTTTTTACTCTTTTAATCTCAATGGAGATGGAAAATCTTGTATTTCATTATGGGAGCCAACAAACCACTTTTGTCCTCGTAGTGTAATAGAAACTAACTCTTTTGCCTTTTTTTTGTTGTGGTTGCTAAATCAAAAGTGATCATATTTCAATGCACATATAACTTACCTCAAATCTCACATGGCTGCTGGGTGAGATTAACAGTGTTTTTATAAGATTACATCTTTTTTTCTTCATATTATAGCGCATATGTTCAATTCTGTGATTTAAAAATACACATACTCATTGTGATGTTGTAATCCTTGTTTTCCTAATTTTTCTAGTGCCAAAGAGATTATTGCACAGTCCTCTAATGGATTTCTGCACTAGGAGAATTTGGTTGCTCTGTACTTCTTCCAAAATGTTAATGTATGCACCTTTGCACTGGTCCTATACACCTGTTTGAATTACATTTTTTATTTAAATAGAAATATGAGATGCTTTATATTCACATTAACATGAATTAATTAACGTACATGTACATTAATGATTCTCCACTTTCCCTGTCCCCAATGGCACCCCATCACCATAATTATGTACTACTATGAGGGGCAGCAGTCAGGGTGGAGGTTGCTCTTCCCTCGTTTCATCCTTTCATCTTAGCTTCTGTTCCCATCAACCTTCTTCAATTTTAAAAGCTATACCATTTAAAGGTACTATGTCCCATGTTGTCCACATCTCCCAAGTCCTTCTAACTCCGCCCCCTACTTCCAACTCCTCCCCCTCCTCCAACTGTCCCCATCAGCCTTCATCCATTATTAACATTGCATGTATGTATCCGGTACACATACAGTAATCCCTCTTTCCAGACACCAACTTAAGTTAAGCCAGTTATCCCATTGTGTATGGCTTGAAGCCATTCGACTGGACAAATATTGTATGCTGCCGCCTTGATCAATCAAAAGCTACAGTAGGCTTGTTTCAATATGAGGTGAGGCACAATGAATAAACCCACATCTTTGAATGCCTTCCTTGATCCGACTATCACCGGTACCCCATCTAGCATTGTCAGCATCATGATTATGTTGCGACAGCTTGCTGTAATGTTCTGGAGATGTTAAAAGTGCAAATATAACATAGCTAATTCGCAGAGGAGTGCTTGAAATGCCCAATGTTTGCTGTATCAACAAGCGCTGTTTCTCCAGGAGTTTATTTCATGTTTTGGCCAGAGCCCATGTACATGTATCAACTCTGTGAAGTCAATCTTGAGGTTTGATTCAGTTTTCAAAGAGTTTGATGGAATGAAAGGAAGATTTCTTTCTTTTCTAGCTTTTTTTTATTGGGAGGGGGGGGGGGGGGCATCTCTGACAAGTAAGATTTATCTGTTGGGGTCTAAAATTGCACTTCAGCAAGGGGGGGGGGGGTGGTAAACTTAAAGGAGGCGCCTTTGTATTTAATTTCTTCCATATTGATTTCTCTCTCCTTTTCTCTTTCTTTCCCCTTTCTTCCCCATTCTCTCACCCATTCTTTCACTCATTTCTCCAATGTCTTCATGTTTACCTTTTTTCATGATGATTACAATGGATTTCTTCGCAAGTCATGACATTTGTGGAATGGTTTATGGTAAAATCATTTAAGATCTTTGAGGTACTCTGCCTCATTCTTGGCTAACACTTTTGACTCTTTCATAGCAACATTGCTTGTCGATTAAGGCTTTTGATCTCGGCCAAAGCACACTAGAAGTATTTTGCTCAATAATTTAATTAATAAAACATGAGGTACAGGAAGTATTTGTTTTTAGAATTCTAGACATTGAATATTGAATTAAAAATGGCTGAATTTGTCAGCTTTGAACCAGAATGGAGTTAACTCAAAATCCTTTTACAACGAGTCAATTTAATGCCCTTCTGGGTCTAAACAGAATCTATTTCGCCTTTTCTTGGTTTAGCATAAGATTTCCATCATATTTGTAACAAAAAATATATTTATAGAGTTCTGTAATTTGACTAAGTAGGAAGTCTGGTTTATTTATTCCCAAGACAAATTAGTTATTTTGCAGCAGTATAAGGAGAACAATGTTGTAGCTTAATGTGTTTGTACCAAATGATGTGACAAACTTTCAAAAAAACAAGTTCTATTTATGTTTAATTTTTATATTGTTATTAAGCAAGAAAATGTGTTTTCTTCCAAATTCTAAACACATTTCATGGCTCTTTGCCATGTTGTGCAATATTGAATATAATTGTTGAATGAAGAAACAGCAAAATGTGCCATATCATTTACCTAAATAATTAATTTGTTAATAGTCTATTTTCTTCTTATCAATTATCATTTGAGTTTCTGTAAAATATAAATTTTTGTAACGGAAGACAAAAGAAAGGGAAAAAATGTGGAAAACATATTGTACTTCCTTTCCAGTATAGGAAATGGATAACTCTGAGGTATATGTTTAAAAAATCACCATAAAATTAGGATTACTTTTGTATCCATGATGCAAATAGAAATGCACTAATTATCTACTTTCATCATATATGGTTTCTTGGAAGTATTTGTTAGTTATTTGTATTGTAGTTCTATTGGCTTCTCGCAATTTTTTTTTTTCCTGAACAAACTTCTCTTCCAGCAAATTATGGAGAGGCAATTTCCAAAGCAACAAAATGTAAACATGAGTATATAATATATATATATATATATATATATATATAATTTTATCACCCTTTTCCCTCCAACCCCTTTAAGTTGTCTCAAGTAATACATCCTCAGAGCAAAGAGCCCTGAAGCCCTGCCCATTATGGCTATTTCCTCTCCTCTGATTGGCCACTCAAGTTCTGACTGAGTTACAGGCCCCTCCCACTCTGGGTTGTCACTCACTGAGTAAAGAGCCTAGGCATCCCACTGTGTGTGTCTACAGCATGCAGCTTTGCAGAGTAGTGTTCTCACTTCACTCAAACCGCTGGGTGAGTTTTTGATGCTGTGCGATGATAAGCAGAGTGGCAGTAGTAGAAAAGTCACATGGTAAATACCTAGTATATATACACGCTTCATGCTGCCAGCTACCTCATCATCAATGCTGCACTGGCTCTGGAATTAAAATCAACTTGCCTGATAAAAAGGTAGAACTTGGTGTTTATCGGCAGATGAGACGAATACAAATCCACCGATCAAATACTGATGTGTGTTTTGCTCTCTCTAATCGCATTCCTGTATGATTGCAAACCTGGATTTGTACTACTGGGCAGTGATTTGCATATGTTTTGAGATCGATGATGGTTTTTGGAAGAAGCTTCATCAAGTTGCATAACCTCACATCATATTGTACATGATTTTGGAGGACTGCAAAAGAAGACTGCAACTTCGATAGGTGACTTTCAGGTTATTTGGCCATTGACTGTATACCTCAACTGCTCTCTTCCAAATTGGGATAGAAATTTGTCCCAATCTCTTCATATTTATGGTGGATGATTGAGCTGATTTCCTGCGCCTTGCGTTGATTGCATGAGGAGCTTCTGATTTGGATACAGGAATCAAGGTCCGGCATAAATTTTCAAACTCTCAGTCAGAGTATAATTATTGTTGTAAATTTAGAGGAGTGTAAGCATTTTGGAGACTGAGATCCTAAATAGCTTGGATCAAACCACTTTCAAATAGATTGAAAGTTACAAAAAGTATACACAATTTTTTTTTATAAGCCAATTTATTATCATCTAACTAGAAAGGAAGCCAATCAAATTTGCCAAGTATTAGACATCACTTTGCCGGAGAGCCTTGAGAGAAGGGGAAACCACCTTCTTCATTGTTTGTTGTGTAGAATCCAAGGAGGATCGACATCAAGATGCAGATGCTACTCAAGTTTGTTCTTGTTTCCCTGGTGATCTACACTCTATTGGATGTTGGTGCTGATGCTGCCAGGAAACACAAGAGATTCAAAAGAAAGAGGCAGCAACTACAACCACAGCTGCATAATGAGGTAAAATGACTTCTTAGCATACATGTAATTAGCATTCTAAGGTGATATTAAGTTTTTTTTTTTTGGGGGGGGGGGGGTCTCTCCCGAAGTGGAATAATAATCTAATGAAAGCTGGAAAAATCCTTTCTGGCCTTGGATGTAAATACCCTTGTTTATGTGCAACTAAACTATGAAGCAGCAGTATGTGTAAGAAGTCTAAAAACCTCTGTGAGATAACAGTGCATTGAGTTCAGGCACCCTACGAAACGGATGAGTGATGGACTTGGCTTGTTAGATTTTTAAGTTTCTTTCAGGTCTTTACCATAAAGTTCATCAGAAATTGTGCATGGAACATCCAAATATTGATCATATTGTTCTGTGGACGTGTGTAACAATATGAGATCATATTCAATTAGTTCTATTCCAATTCCTTCTTTTGTTTCAGTTGCGAGCAGAACTTAATATTATTTTTTAAATACTCCTAGCACTGTAAAGCATGATCAGAGTATCCATTATACCTCAGTTGCACCAACAGACCAACTCCACCTGACTCCAGCACCGACCGGTTCTTTGCCATTGGTAGTAATGTAATGTTTTATTTGCTCTATAGTCAGTCTGGGTGTCGGTCTTGTCGCCGACTATTATTGGTCTCAAAGAGCAATTCATACCGATTCAATTCCATAATTCATAGATGAATTGATTTACCTTGTACTGTATTATGATGCTCACACAATAGGATGTTAGTTCAGCCCTTCATTTTGTTTGCTCACTTAAATGCCAACAGAAAGCTCATCATTTGTCAAAAGTACATTTTGTATATATGCAAGAATGATCATCGGTAACAATTATGTATGTCATGACTATGGCTTGGCAAAACAAATTGACAAAACATTGGACTTTGGCTTCTATTGAAGTCCCTGTCTGTCATTGAAAAGAGAGTATTTTCCACATTGCCCACACAAAGTTGACAAGGAAATATTTACATTAGTAAAAATAGAAAACCACAATATTTGAGAAAGATGATGTTCACTTTTTAGTGTCTGTGTTGGTTTGGTCGGCAATTTGTGGTTTGTATTTTAATCCGTTTGTGAGAAATTTATTAAGACTTTTCTTGTTTTGCTTTGGGATATATTAGATGATTGTAATGATTCATTAACAAGTTTAATGACAAATCTGCTTTTTTTTCTCTCTTGCTTGTGACTTTGTTTATTACGAAAATATTGTCATCTGCAGTGTTTGGCATCTTTTGTTTACAACTAATACCAAATTTCTGTGTCAAGCTTATGCTGTATTGAAGTTCGACTGCAAGAGATTGACACAAACCCTTTCATTTTATCTGACATTTTGGGCAGGTGCACGTCCAGGCTCTAGTAAAACCATCAACTTTAATAGTAGATCATCTGGAAAACTGAAATTCTGACGTGACTGGTAATGTGGGATGAAATGCTATAGATTTAATTTTCTTTGTTGTTAATATTCATAGATTATCAGTAATTAGGCCTATAACAACTTTTACTTGACAAAACTGGATCTTGAATCGTGGCTTGTATACCATGGACTTAGTAATGTTAGTGGAGACTAGTTTTTTGATGAGTTACAATTTATTTATCACCTCTACTCTAGTTTAAATTGACAGTGTCTTTAAAAACAAGAATAGAAAAATGTCCCCAGGCTTTTGATAACACAGCATGCCCATTTTTCAAGAGATGGAAAGTTGGAAACCCAGGGCAGTATAACAAACAACCCACAGTAAGAGGTAACTGCAAATTGGCACCGAGTCAGCGTTCAATTCACAATATATTGTTGATTTAAATCCTTCAATTGCTCTGTGACACCTCAGTGACCAAACCACTTGTGATCGCTCCATGTCATATTTCACAAATCCACTACTTTCCTTCTCCCATTTCTGGTTGTACTCACCTGTGAAGATGGGTAGAGTTGTGTTTAGATTTCACGCAAACCTGAAACTGTGCATACCAAGCGTAACAATTGTAAATACTATTGTCCTTTCTTTACTGTTTGACTGTTTGACTGTTTGAAGTGAATTTCTAGCTTTGGAATCACTTGTCACACGTCCAGATCTACCGATTCTTGGCTACTGGTATTCAGGGTGGGGTGGTGGCAATTTTTGTCCATCTAGTGTTGCTGTGGTGTCTGCCTCATTGGTATGACAGGGTCGGGTTTGATACTAGTGTGGCATTGTTGCCAATTTGTTTACTATTTCACGCCTGTATATTGTACTGATCTTAGGAGTGTTGATGTTTCCAATTGAACGGTACCATTGAGATGATTTACACACGTTTGGGGACCCTTCCACTTGTTGCGGTTGGGGGTCAATGGAATGACGGATGAAATTGCTTTGACTCCTCTCGTAGTGTCCTCTTTATTTTGCCATTATTAGTCTGGCATTTAGAAATATTAAATTTGTCTACAATGGTTTTGCACAGCTGGAATGGAAGCCATACTTTAATTGTTTCCATTATGCAATAAATGCCGACTACAACTATATTGGTAAAAATATTTTAAAAAATAAAAATCAACTTGATGTGTTTGGGTTAGGACTTTTTTTTCTGGTGATGATTTGCAAAGAAAATGGCTTTCTGATTTGTGTGAAAAAACGAGAAATACATTGAAATTGATTGAGATATTGATCTCCAAAATATGCAATTTCATTAGGTTCGTGAAGAAAAAACTATCCAATCGCAAAAGCATACACAATCAAGATGCTGCACTACAGTTGTTGCACTACAGTTGTTCATTGAATTGTATTTTTTCACATTTCCAAGCAAAACGTCCGCAAAGACACAGAATAGAGTGGTTTTATTCATGGGGAAAGAATAGGGGATTAGTGTATTTATAAACTACTGTAGCTCTAGGGGAATCCTAGGAATCTTTGAACAAGAGCTTTCTCTATTTCAGATCATGTTCTTTTCTTTCCACCATTATTATTCTAAGTGATCTGCCCTGAAGATCTACCTACCAGGTAGCATTCAGATTTCAACTCCGGGCTCTCTCATGTTTGTAGAAAGGATTGCGGTAGAAGAGTTCTTTATTCAAAGTTGCCACAATCCGAAACATGACTTGGTTTGCAACATTGTGATGTTGTAATCCTACCGTAAGAGGAATATAATGGAGGTATAATCATGTCAAGGACCCCATGCAGGCTTGAAAGTAAAATGTTCAATTCTCCTGCATTTGACAGGTTGTGATACTGACTGTACATGACACTAAGCATTGCATGAGGTCTGTCTATTATAGTGCGTTATCCAAAACTGATTTTCTATACTGAATTCAGTCTATTTAATGAAATTGATCTGTCGGGTATAGCTCCAACAGAAATAGCACAATTACCTTGTGGATTTTAAAAAAAAACATGCACAGAGTCCAGACTATAACCCCCCCCCCCCTCCCAGTGCCCCCCTCCACCACCATACATTCTAGGGGGCTAAGGGTGACTGTTCTCAACAAAAGTTGTCTTGGGAAGACTTTTGAGGCACAGACAGTCACACACCTGTGCTGATGATGTAATTTGGCTGATCCAATCATATTCCTCTGAAGGACGGACATGAATGCAGACATGAATGTTAATTTCATGCTAAACCTAGCGCAACACCATTGCTCCGGGCAGAAGGGTGGGTGAGAAACAGAACAAGAATTGAAGGAAGAACAGATAAATAGATAGATAGATACATGGATAGATAGATAGACCATAGACAGGGACAGAGAGGGACACAGATAGAGGGAGAGAGAGAGAGAGAGAGAGAGAGAGTGACAGATAGAAATTGAGGGGAGAAAGAAAGAGAGAGAAAAGAGAGAAGAGCAGATATAGATCAAGAGAGAGAGGAGAGAGGGAGGATGAAGAGAGTGAGAGAGAGAGAGGTAGAGAAATAAAAATAAAGGAGAGCTGAGATTAATGCTGAGCATGGTAAAACATTATAGAAGACAGCTCCATCAGCATTCAGCAGGTCTTTATAATTATATGTATTATATCCTCTGTCGAGTCTGTCCTTAGCTACTGCCTGGTAGACCTACATGCAACTCAAGAACACATTTCAATGATTACATACCCTATTTATTTTCTGAATGACAGGTCTACCAGTAAACAAACTTTTTGTGTGTGCCATTTCTGATATGATTTCAGAGCCCATGCATTGAAAAATGGCTACCATGCAAAAATGAAAATGTTCTCCGGTAAAAAATAGATAAACTAGAATGAACTTGATTGCAGATAAATCTGAATGAATAGATTACATAACTTAATTAATAAACTTCATATTATTTAAACAGATTTGTGGCTTACACCCAGTAAATAAGTTATAAAACTTCATATTGATTTTAAACATAAAATTACTCTCACCCAGCACTTGGGTAAAAAAAAGCTGAATTGCTTTTAAATACATTTTTTTAAATTTAAACTTCAAATCTTCAAATTATGAAACAAACAAAAAATTATGAAAAATGTCCGGACTGAATCAGAAATTTGATCTTTTAAGGTGACAGAAAATTATATTATATATTTTTGTATGATAAATTTAATTGAATTGGACTGGTTTGCTCATTCTTAGACATAAAATGTTCCCGTTATAGATTATTCTCTGCATCCTAATCATTCACTTTTTGGATAAGCTTAACATAATAATCTGGAATTAAAGCCCATTAAAAGCTTTAATCTATTTGTTAATCACTCTGTCAATAATGTAGAATGATTGTTAAAGTAGTAGAGTACTAGTTGACCTCTGTATCCTAATGTTGGTTTGCACGCAATCTTTCTCTGTTTCTTTATCGTTGTTGTTTTTCTTTATTTGATTGCAAGTATTGGAGACACCAAGTCTAAGTGGGTGTTTTACTCTGTGTATGTTCAGATAACCAGAATTCATCGTACAGCTATACGAGAATATGATGAATAATAACATTTCCCCTAGCCTGAGTGTCATATAAAGAAATTGCGAAATATGTAACGAAATGTTGTATATTCAAAGAGATATTGTATGTTGTTGTATAGTACAAAACACCAGCTTTTT